CACACACACATACGTATGTTAGATGAATTATGTAGAAATGGTTTAAATTTGTAAAATATACTGCCTCAAATGATTTCAACCTGTCCCACCTTTTGTCGTTCTATTAATTCTCATATTACAATGACACATATTCATAAATTATCAATACAGACGGAAAAAATTTAATTCTGGAAAAACAATAGGAGGTTGTTTCCAAAATAACCCATAGAGCTTTAATTAGGCTAAATATGCAACCCTGGCAGTCTCTATATTTGTTATTTATTACATTGGACAGGGGCAGAGGACAGATAAATGACAAAGAGATGAAATAACGTGAAAAAGATTTTAGGCTAGAGGAGGGAGAAAAAAACAGTGGCAAAAGCACAAAGGCAATGCAAATAAACTGCACTTGTTGAAACCAGGGAATGCCAAAATCGGCCTTTATTATACAAAACGGAACAGACAAACATTTACTAGACAATTGACAATTTGTTCACAATTAAAAAGTTAATGATACAATGTTTTTTCCCCTTAAGGATTTCAGTCACAGCTTTTGAATGCTGTCACAGGATGTTTCATATATGAATCATAAGACTAATATCAATCAAAGGTCAAATACTGTGACTTTTTAGTTATCAAATTAAATTTAAGTAAAAATGACTTCTGTTATGTTGTATAATATTCAAATATTATGTATATAGTAAGTTGACAGTTTATTTTGAATAAACAAATGTTTTATTTGAGATGTGCATGCTGTAGTTACTGCTAAAAATACAGATACTGGACACTTTTAACAAATCAGCAGGTCATATTAAAGTAGTAACATCGTGCATATAGCCTATAGGCTATATTTAAATATATATTTGTATTTTTATTGTTTTTGGCAATTCAGCATGTAGAAAATGTCTTTTAATGAGTTAATCGCTCCATTCAGTTATATACAAATTTTCAAGCAAAAATAAAATGTCAATATACAAAGAGGTGTAAAGAGTACCTAAAAACCATACTTGAGTAAAAGTGCAGATACCTTACAGTGAAAATTACTCCACTACACGTTACAAGTCACCAATTCCAAAACAACTTGAGTAAAAGCCTTAGAGTATCTGATTTTAACAGTGCTTAAGTATTTTACTTATACTAAACATAGGCTCAAAAAATGCACTAGTCAAAGAGATTGCCAGTGAAAAACTGTAATGTTGTGGAGAAGCTGGGGAAAAGACAGAGGCAAGGATCTATGTGCAGGTATTTAATGGAAAAACTAGAACAAACAATAAGCCAAAAGCCAAAAACCAAAGGGAACAAAGAACAGAATGACTGGCAAACAGACAACCATAAGGCCTACATTCAACAACTCACAAGGAACTAAAGAAAAACCAGGGCAATTTATACACACAGGGGGCTAACAAGCTTAAAGCCCCATTCACACCAAGAACGATACCTATAAAGATAACGATATTAGCGTCCACACCAGCGGACGATATCGTCTAATTAATTCTAAGCATATTCATCTGTCGCTTTAAATTCTTGAGCTCGTGATAGCAGGATTGATTTTGATCGGCTGTGAATGTTTTTATTGTTTATCAGCTGGGAAAAAATCGTATTGAAAATGATTCAAACGATATCATTTCTCTGTGCCTTTATCGTTATAGCTGTGGTGTGGACTCTTCTATTCTTTAATATTGAGAACAATTTTTAGAATTATATCTTTATCGTTATCTTTATAGTTATCGTGCTTGGTGTGAACAGGCCTTATCAAGATAAGACACCTGAGGAGACTAATCAAGGGGAACCAATGAACAAACGGACTACAAACTGACTACAAACACCACGGGAGACAGGAAGTGACATAAAAGTCCAGGGCAAGGCACAGAGAACATGTAACAAAAACAAGAAAGAGTTGATTTGTGAGGAGTGCAATCACGTTTATTTTCTAAAACCAAAATAAAACTGAACACCTCAAAATTACAAAACAATATCCATCAAAAAGGTCTCTTCAGTATAATGGATAAATAAAATAATGTTAAGTAAAATTAAAAAGCCGAAGCCTTCTTGCACTGGCTGTGCTGGTTTGGGCCTCATTGCCGGCTGCAGTCATGTCCTCATCTCATATATAAAACACCTCTGATTCACAAATACTTGCTAAGGAACTCGCATTCACATAAAGTAGCCTTGTTGAAAAGTTTGGGTGAGTAAGGGCAAAATGCACAAGATGCAGTACTTTCAGTGACCTGTAATAGGCAATATCACGTCTCTTGTAGCAGAAATAAACTGCTCCAGAAAAAGCTAGGTCCAAGCAAAATGTAATGTGTAACTGCAACACTCATTTCAAATGTAGTGGAATAAAGAGTACAGATACTCATTCAGAAATGTAGTGAAGTAGAGAGTAAAAGTTGCTAATATCTTTGATACTCAGTACAACTACAAAGTATCCAAAAGGATACTCAAGTACAGTAACTAATTACATTTACTCCAATACTTTACATCTCTGCATACAAACACTATTCAAATCATCACTCGATGTCTGGCATTTAATTGTCGTCAAATTCATCTTTGGCTCTGAACAGTAAGTAATTAATTATATTATTTTTAATTATTACAATAATACCACATGGCAATTATAAATGAACGTGAAAACAAATGTGAGATCCCATACAAACAAACAAATAAACAAATAAAACGACTATTATTAGGCTAATAAAAATAGTTAAATGTATTTTAATCAACATTTATAAAAGCTTCACTTGAACTTAAACTGAGAAAAGACCAATCGAATTCTCTCTTGAAAAAAAAACCCGAATACGATACTAATGACATTTTAATGACTGAGTCACAGCGCTGTAGAGCTGTTTGCAGTCTTGCTCATACCTGGAAACACTATATAGGCAACTGGAGGTGTTCTGGAAGAAGGCCAGGGCGAACAGTTACAGGGCAGCAGGTATCCGGGGTTTGGAGACAGGTGAGTGTGCGCGTACTGACCGGAGCATCCCAGACACCCGAAGGACCTGTGTCCACTCTGATAGCTAAAAGCTGGAGAAAAAGCCAACGAGCCCGGGGTTAAAGCAAGTTTTTCATGTCGAAAAGCAGTTGACAGGCTCGGCTCCATGATAGGATGTTGCATGGACGCAGCTGAATGAAGGGGTCGTGGTTTGTCCAGATTTGAGACAGCTTGAAATTCTCGCTCGTCGTGATGCGGTAAAGACAACAGCGTGTCCTTCCTCAACAGTCCTTTAGGTTTGCGTCTCGGTCGGTATTTGTAGTCTGGATGCTCTCTCATGTGTTGGGCGCGTAGTCTTTTAGCCTCGTCGATGTAAGGTCTTTTTTCAGCGTCAGAGAGCAGCTTCCACTCGGCGCCGAGTCTCTTGCTGATCTCAGAGTTGTGCATCTTTGGGTTCTCCAGTGCCATCTGTCTTCTCTGACCTCGCGACCAGACCATGAACGCGTTCATTGGTCTCTTGATGTGCTCCATGGGCTGCTTCACCATGTTCCTCGAGTTCATTTGCTGCTTTGCGTCACGGAGTAATAATTTTAAAAAGTTGCTATAACACCTGAAAGTATATTAAAATCATCTGTGGAAATGATGAGGTGAGGTGAGATGCGCAGCGGTGTTTAAAAGGCAGGATTTTTTTTTTTGCCACTGAAACTGAAGTGTGTGAGAACGACTGCTTGGTTTTGTGAGATGTTTGTTTCAAATCTCTGAGAGTTTCAAAGAAAGCTTTGCAGCGAGGACACATCATAACCCCTCGCGCCCAATCAGCGCTTGAGCGACATAATACAGTTACAATGACACCAGAAAACAGTGATTTCTGCAAAAAGGGGACTCAATGAAATTAAAATGACTTTAAAGCTGCCTATAAAAGTTTAGGTAAGCCGCTCTCTCAAAACACACACACACACACACACAGCCTTGATATTACAGAGCGAGGACTCGACAACACTAGCTGTCCTTGGTGCTGACGGATTATTTACAACAAAAGCTGTCGTAGGCATAACATGTCCATAAATTTGATTTTTAATCAACAATTTAAAAGTTATATGAATGCACAAAAATAGAAAAAAATTTTTATTGTTGTGATTATTTTTTTCTTTTCTTTTATGTAAAGCCCTTCGAATTACCATTGTGTATGAAATGTGCTATATAAATAAACTTGCCTTGCCTTGCCATTATTAGCAGCTGGTTTTTGTTTTAATCATAAACTGATGTATGAATGATGCACTGGATTATTTACAATGCATTAAAGAAAGAAAATAATATCAAGATATTTTCTGAATTCACCCTTTGATAAAAATGCAAAGTGCATGAGAATGACTGATATCGAAAGAAATGATTTTGCATTATGTCCAAAAAGATACATCTGCAGAGTGCAGACTCCTGGATATTTTGGCCATGGATAAGCATGTTAGCCATGCATAATCCTTCCATGTCAAAGGAAAGATTCCTTCCTAATGTATGTCTCGTGCCCACTGCTTGTGTGAATTGTTCAGATAAATGAGAGGTGCGTGAGCTGGACAGCTGGTGATTTGCTGTGTCCATCATGAGATTTTATTTCCTGCACTTAGGGATTTTTGACACAGGGTGGCACTGATCATGCTGTGAAGCTGATTGCTTTTCATTTGCCTTTTACAGGTAGATAAAATAGCCATTGAAAGAGCTATCAAATCTATATCCTGCTTTTAGATGCCTTCTTTTATTGCCTCAAATAAAAAGTAGGATGAAAAGAGTTAAGCATACACCTCTAAATATAAGGCACTTGTCTTTAAAATGACAAATTAAATGTGTATTGTAACATAATTTAATTCATTTAGGTTTTAAATTGTAATCATATGTGTAATATGTTAACTTTAAATATTTGGCCATTGGTACAAATTTAAAGCGCAAATTTATTATCATATAGTTTGTATAGCTGTGTTCTGCATATACACTGAACAAAATTATAAACGCAACACTTTTGTTTTTGCCCCCATTTTTCATGAGCCGAACTCAAAGATCTAAGACTTTTTCTATGTACACAAAAGTTTTATTTGACTGTATTATGTCTTAAATGGTATTATGTGCTCTTTATATGCTGTTGTTGAGTCCTGTCATGATGATCACATGTTTAATGATTTTGTCCTCTTGAAATCCAATATTGCATCTAGAGCAGGGGTGTCAAACTCAATTCCTGGAGGGACGGAGCCTAGAGCAGTGGTTCCCAAACCTGGTCCTGGAGGCACCCCAACACTGCACATTTTGCATATCTCCTTTCTCTGACACGCCAGTTTCAGGTCTTGGAGCAGGGGTGTCAAACTCAATTCCTGGAGGGCCGAAGCCCTGCAGAGTTTTGTTCCAACCCTGCTGCAACACACATATCACGTAGTTTTCAAATAAGCCTGAAGGACTTGATTAGTTGGATCAGGTGTGTTTAATTAGGGTTGAATCTAAACTCTGCAGGGCTCCGGCCCTCCAGGAATTGAGTTTGACACCCCTGTCTTGGAGTCTCTACTAATGAGCTGATGACCTGAATCAGGTGTGTTTGATTAAGGAGACATGCAAAAGGTGCAGCGTTGGGGTGCCTCCAGGACCAGGGTTGGGAACCACTGGCCTAGATGACTTGATTAGTTGGATCAGGTGTTTAATTAGGGTTGAATCTAAACTGTGCAGGGCTCCAGCCCTCCAGGAATTGAGTTTGACACCCCTGATCTAGAGGATCTACTGAATTAAATGTAGTGTGGCTTAACCAGTTGTTTTAAAACTTGTTATACAATTAGAACAATATTTGAGAAGGGTCTGGCTGCAGACTTGCACTTGCACTCTCAGACTTGCACTCTCTGACACTTGCAGTCTTTATTTTTTATTTTGTTCTATTTATAGATTTTTTTTTTTGAATCTCTCAACATTTTACAACAGTAGCCAGGTGGTGAAGACAAGAAAAAATAAACTAAATTACAATGTCACTTGCAATCGCCACTTGCACTCTCAGCTACCTGCGACATCACTTGCAATCGACACAAATCGTGCGTGTTGCCAATGGAGACAAGAAGCTGTGGTGGTGATTTAATGATTAAAACTAATTTAGTACAATAACGTACATGGTCCTGCAAGACAAGACCCGCAAATCCGTGGCCACAGAACAGCAGAATATGAAGGCAATGCACAAAGTCTCTCGTTAAGCGTTTTCCTCCCGTAGAAAAACATAAACACTTAATATGACTTGATGTACTAAGATGCTATTAAAATATCAAATTCAATATACAGTTTATTAAAATAATGAATATGTATATAGTATTTTCCACCCATACCGCGAAACGTGGCATGTGTGGCATAATGGACTAAGATGATAATAAAGACCAAACTCAATATGCTCCTCTTCATTATTAAAATATACATAACTATGTACAGGCAAGTGAGCCCAGAATAAACGCAACAAGCAAAGTTTCGCGTTAAGCATTTTTCCATATAGAATCAAATTTCTACAGCTCTTTTATGTAATTATCTTTGTCCATTAAGCTACATTACATGTTTTATTTATAATGATTTTCTGTAGGAGGAAAATGTTTAACGTGCAATTTAACACATTGCGTTCTGGGTTCGTCT